CAGTACAGTATTCGTCAACAAAAATCGACCAGGACCACACATGCTCGGACACTAGAGAGTACATTACAATACAATACAATAGATTGCACAGCTTCTGCCATTGAAAGAACTTCATAACTTTAGTAACCTCTTCATTTTTGATACGAGACTAGCATGAAAAAAAAAGTGGACGATCATTCGCCCGACATTCTCATTGTGTGTATGAGGCTTTACAATCACAGTGAGAACAGCTTCACCAGAAAGAAAGGTAAATTCTTCAACATAGAAATATTTTTTTTTTTTCAGTAGCGAATGGGAAGGCTAGAGCCCCTGTCAGATTTTTATTGCGGACTGTGTCCCCGCTGAACGTTTTCTCTCAACTTTGGTCTGGTAAACCGCCGTCACCGCAAACAAAGGAAAATCTATCTAATGGAGCCTAAGATAGCAGACCAAACACAACAGGGGTTCTAATTTTTCCCCATTTTATCAAAAACAGTAAAAGTAAATTTTGGCCGGATATATATTATAATTATTTGGGTTTAATTATACAGCAAACATTAGGTAATATATTGGCGCTGGAGAGATGGGGGTAAATATTACAGTCCCATAGGTAGTAGGGAGGTGTTCAGTTATCTGGATAGCACAGTCATGAGGCAGCACCCTATAGAGTTACGCTGGACTCTGTAGTGGAAGATAAAAGGAGAGAGAGGGGCGCCAGACTAAGTGCAGTATTTGCCAATCATTTATTGCACACAATGGTATGTAACTCACAAGAGGTAAGTAGTTAGCAGGCATGGATACATAGGGACGTCATCCAGATGGGGTTCTAGAGGCAGAGAAGAGAGGTTGGATGGATATCTGGGGGCCACGGCTGTGGTGGAAGCCATGTCTCCTGACTCACATCAAGTCCTCTGCAGCATGTACAGGTTATATATCGCGTGGAACCAGGCTGGAAAGCAAGATGACCGCCAGGTAAAAGTGACGTCACTACGGGAAAGGGCGGTAACGCGTTTCAAAGCTGTTGCTTCTTCGTCAGACCTCTAGGTCTGAAACGCGTTACAGCCCCTTCCTGCAGCATTACATTCCTGTAGTGATGTCACTTCCGCCCGGTGGCCATCTTGCGTTCCAGCCTGGTTCCACACGAGACACAGCCTGTACACATGGCCCCCAGATTTCTATCCACCCTCTCTTCTCTGCCTCTGGAACCCCATCTGGATGACGTCCCTATGTATCCATGCCTGCTAACTACTTACCTCTTGTGAGTTACATACCATTGTGTGCAATAGATGATTGTCAAATACTGCACTTAGTCTGGCGCCCCTCTCTCTCCTTTTATGCAGCAAACATACCTCTTGTCGTTTATGTCACACAAAAAAAAAAAAAAAGCTCAGCGCAGAATCAAAGGAAAAATACTTACCTTTCTAGCTCTTCGCTCTCCTCCGGGATTATGGTGAGTGAAGAACCTTCAGCCCCCCAACACACTCCTAAGTATATGAGATGTCTGGTTCTTCTACTGTGGGGGTCCTTTCTCTGGCCCCTGCAGGACACACTGGTGACGAAGGATTAGACTCCATCTAAGCATGCAGTGGGGGACCAGGCATCTGTCATGGATGATGAATATTCCTCAGCCTCCATAACTCTTGATGAGAGTGAGGATCAAAGTCAAAACTCAACAGAGAGGTAAGTATTCTTTTGTTTGTGGCTGGAAAAATCTTCCATTGGACAGAAATGTCATAGCAGAACCATCAGACAGAAACTCCTGACACAAGGAAACAAGTATTCATCAAGCTGGTCAGTACTATCATTTAGGCTTGGTGAATCCATTTAGGAAGTTCTCATTGCACATTCCCTAGGGGGGCAATCCAGGACTAGAAGGAACGCATTGTGCTGACACCAGTACAATGGACAAGCGTATGCAAAAAATAAAAATGTTCTCGTCCATTCATATACACGAATGTACGTGGTGGTATCAAAAAGTTTTGAGACTAGTTTGCAACACATGGCAGCACAAGGCTGCAGGCACAGTCACAGGGAACACCAACCTTCATAAGTCAGTGTGTCAAAAGACATCGTCCTGTGTACATCGGGAGCTGCACAACTGGTGCTATTCTGATCACATGCGTTACCACATCTGCTATTTCATCATGGACAGCAATTTAGAGCATAGAGATTTAGAGTACGCCCCTTGAGGGTTAGGGACTGATGTGAATGTACAATATATATGTGTGAAGCACTGCGTAAAATTGATGGCGCTATATAAGTACCTGAAATAAATAAAATAAAATAATAAAGAGCAACGTGAAATTCATGCGTGAAACTAGGCAAATCGATGGAGCTCTGCAATGTTGCCAAACCTGCGACCTTTGCGCTGGATCTTCATCTTCGGGAAGAGAGCATTTTTGGGGTTGAGCTCATTGCAGGTTTTCCTAATCTCTCATCATCTTCCAGTGATGTTCTTCCACTCTCCAAGCACGCACGCCACTCATAACACCTCAAACGACTCATTGCAGCATTCCCGTAAACTTGCCAAATCATGTCATAGGTCTCTGTGGCCGATTTGCCAAATTTCACTCAGAATTTAAAATTTTCATCATTGACAGCAATTTAGAGAAAAGAGCAAATGTGAAATTCCTGCGTGAAACTGGGCGAATCACTGGATCTCTGCATTGCTTTAAAACCTGCGACCTTTGCGCTGGATCTTCATCTTTGGGAAGAGAGCATTTTTGGGGGTTGAGCTCGTTGCAGGTTTTCCTAATCTCTCGTCATCTTCCATTGATGTTCTTCCACTCTCCAAGCACGCGTGCCACTCATAACACCTCAAACGACTCATTGCAGCATTCCCGTAAACTTGCCAAATCATGTCAAAGGTCTCTGTGGCAGATTTGCCAAATTTCACTCAGAATTTCACATTTTCATCATGGACAGCAAGTTAGAGCAAAGAGCAGGGGCGGATTGACCATTTGGAAGCTCGGGCACTGCCCGAGGGCCCGGGGTCAGTAGGGGGCCCCATGAGATGCCCCTGGTACCTTTTTCATAGGCTTTTTTGAGTTTGGGCAAGGACACAGGGGCCCCATGATCCCCTATTGCCCGGGGGCCCCATGAGTTGTCAGTCCGCCCCTGGCAAAGAGGAAACGTGACATTCATGCTCTTTGTTCTATCTTGCTGTACATGATAAAATGGCGGACGTGGTAACTCATGTGGTCAAAATAACACCAATTGCACAGCTTCTGATGTACACAGGACGACGTCTTTTGGCATACTGATTTATGAAGGTCGGTGCTACCTGTGACTGTACGTGCAGCCTTGTGCTGCCACCTGTTGGTTTGACATTTTGTGATACGACCTTGTATAAATGGCAGACCTCATGGACAATGGCAGCCATCTTGGAAGGGGTCACATACGTGGCTGGATTTTATTTTTACCAATATATTAATAAATAACCCAATACCATTCACTAGCAGACCAGTACAGGAACATCAAGCTGATAACAAGTGAACAAAAAAAATGACATTTGCGGTAAAGCTAAAAGGGCAAAAATCTTAAAAAGGTAATAATTTGGCATTTCTCTGCACCTGGTTGGGAATAGTTTGTCCTTTTTCCATTTACAGTGAAAATTACAATAAAGACACTCAATGGTTATTTCAAGGATATATAGTTACAATGTAAAACTTTCCTTGGAGCCTATTCTGAAGTTGCTGCCGTTGCAAATGAACTTTTCTTAGCACTTAAAATCACATTATTGGAGCTCATTAGCCTGGTTTCAATCTATACAGTGAAAAACTTTTCTGCAAGCCGATCTTTACATTCCGTCACTTAAAGTAGATGCAGACCCAAACCAAATGATATTTAGTTGCTGAAAGGGACTGTGTATCATAAATGCCATTTATTACAATAAATTACTTGTTTTCACCTGTCAAACTCATTGCAAATCGGCAGATCAGGTTGGTTCCTTACAATGTGTGTGTGATCATCATCTGATCATTACTTTCCATGTTACCACCAGAATAAAAGGGAAGCAGAGTTCTCAGATTGTGGAGCTGCTCTCCTGAGATGATTGTTTCGGGGTCCTATCTGTATGAACTGTGTGATCAAGTCATTCCTGACAAAGCTTTAAGTGAACAGCTAACCATACACCCAGCAATAGCAATGGAACCACCTGTAAGTAGCCGTCCACCATCCCTGCTGGATGCAGGAGTCGGTGGTGATGGGATCTTTGAATGCGGGATATTTATCCCTTGGATTATGGCTCAGAAGAGGTAAGTTGCTGTGCCTTAAAGCGTTACAAAACCCACAACAGTACAATCAGTCTGTATATGCAGCAAAGCGTGCTTGTTATACTCACTGTGGAACAGAAGGGGTTACTCCTCTGCATTCTGCAAAAAGGCTGTTTGATCCTGTCTTCAATGCCCCTCCTCTTGTTCAAATGTCTACACTGATAAGACTGACTGAACCATAGCCATTCTGTACATGCTCAGTTCAGTGTGTATTGCTAGAGAGTTTTGTTTTTTTTTCTTGGGAGAGTGCATGTGATCAGCACAGGGCCAATCAGCACTGTCCAGACAGAGGTCAGGGGTTTTGCATCCTCCTAGAGCAGAAAGAAAACACCTCCTACAAGCTTTAACCAGTGCTCTGCTGAAGTCACAAGACTGCTCTAACTGCAGATGAGAAAAGATATTTAGCAGTTTATATTTGGTAAAATATTTGCACTTCCATGTTCTGTGTACTGTGTGAGACCCAGATATAGTGAATGCAGGGTCCATGGAGACCAGATATAGTGAATGCAGGGTCCGGGGAGAGGGGATATAGTGAATGCAGGGTCCGGGGAGAGGGGGATATAGTGAATGCAGGGTCCGGGGAGAGGGGATATAGTGAATGCAAGGTCCGGGGAGAGGGTCGGATATTGTGAATGCTGGGTCTGGGGAGAGCGGATATAGTGAATGCAGGGTCCGGGGAGACCGGATATAGTGAATGCAGGGTCCAGGGAGAGCGGATATAGTGAATGCAGGGCCCAGGGAGACCGGATATAGTGAATGCAGGGTCCGGGAGAGAGCAGATATAGTGAATGCAGGGTCCGGGGAGACCAGATATAGTGAATGCAAGGTCCGGGGAGACCAGAACGCAGGGTATATATAGTGAATGCAGGGTCCGGGGAGAGCAGATATAGTGAACGCAGGGTCCGGGAAGAGTGGATATAGTGAATGCAGGGTCCGGGGAGAGCAGGGTCCGGGGAGCGGATATAGTGAATTCAGGGTCCGGGAAGAGTGGATATAGTGAATGCAGGGTCCGGGAAGAGTGGATATAGTGAATGCAGGGTCCGGGGAGAGTGGATATAGTGAATGCAGGTTCCTGGGTTTAGTAACACTTTAAAATATGTACACAGTAACTCCAAGCTTTCAATTGGAATGCTGACGGTCATCCAGGACACTGTAAGGTACGCAGTGATTGAATATGTTAAGGTGACCAAATTTTAAAAATGAAATCCATTGACACTCTGACCATGTCCACTTTTATTGAGGGGGGCAAGGCAGAGCAGGGGGTGGGGTTAATAGCAGCATTCCAAGCATGCCACACCAAATGTTGGGTGTGGAAAATCTTGCTAACAGTGGAAGGAGCTTAAAAGTGGAAGGAAGGAGCTTATAGTTTAACAACACCTGAGCCTACTTTGCTTTGAATCAAAAGTGCAGACCCAGGTGTACATTGCAGTTCACCATCACAAGCAAGTGCAAGGTGGCAAATAATCCATATATTTACCTCCCACAACAAGGTCTGCACAAACCTAGAGGGAAGGGACTGGGAAGACTACGTTAGATCATCACTTGACATCATCAGTTACCCCAGACACAGTTGAGAGCATACACATCCCTCCCCTCGCTCTTTCTCTGGGCCAATTACAGGAAGGTTGTGAAACTGGATTACCCTGCAGCTGCCCGGGCTGGGAACACCATTGATAAGGCTGGAAAGAAATCGGGACACAATCTTTTCACTGGGGACAAGATCTGGGACATTTTTTTCCTGGAGACAGCACCTTAAAATAGAAGACTGTCCCCAGAAACTAGGGACATCTGGTCACCCTAGTATATGTACATACCTACATTTCCAAGTCATATTCTAGAACTCATAATGTTCCACCATCAAGCCTTCAGTAACCATACAGTCTCTGGTCACATGTCACACGCCTCTTACCTAAAGAGGCCTTTCTCAACCAGGGTGCCCAAGCACCCTAGGGTGCCTTGAGGTTTATTCAGGGGTGCCTTGGCTAAATGTCTACAAACTGTATACAAACCAGCAGGTGGAACAGGCCTGCCTTTTAGTTACACAAACCACAGAGTTTCATTGTGCACCATTACGACCTTCTAGCCACCGGCATCCTGACAACTAATGACATCATCAGTTGACAAGAAAGACGTCAGCTGCCTGCACAACATCCTAGTTTGACCCTCCCCTGCCCCTCTCCATCAGTGCTGGGGTCACATTAGCTCAGTGATGGAGAAAAACTGAGGGAGAGAGAGAAACACTGGAATACTAGTCAGCAGATACTACTTTGCTTTGGAAGAATTCACCTCTAATGTTGCTGCGTTATATAAAAACTATTAGAATATTTTTTCATATTTTAAAATGGGGTGCCTCAAAACTTTGCATAATTTTAAAGGGTGCCTCGGGACTGTCCATAATTTTAAAAGGTGCCTTGAATGGAGAAAGGTTGAAAAACACTGACCTATAGCCCAGGAGGGTAAGAAAAATCCAGTATTGTTGGCAAGACGGACACATGAATAGCTATATTATATAATATATATTGTACTAACCGGGCAGATTCAAGGAAGACAGATTCTTGAATTAGCGGCCTCTTGATTATTATTTAATATCAAGACAAGATGTAGCTGATGACATTTCAGTATAACAGCAGGGTGCCATTCCCTTTTATTCCCCCCTTTTCCAGAAACGTACTTGCGATATCAAGTTAGTAGTGAAAGCAGTCCGAGAGTCTTTGAAAATGTCAAATTTAACAGCGGGAAAAAATGTCTTTTAACTGAAAAGATGAGAACTCGAGGGAGCAAAATTAACAGCGCAGCACAACATTTCACCAAGTAATAGAACCATATTTCCCCTTTTATAGAGCAGCGCTCACGGCAATATTTAATATCTCTGCTTTAATGAACTTTTAAAGGGAGTCAATAAATATTCAGGCCTATGACAAGTCCAGTGCACATTTAACTATCTGATGGACTGTGGGAAGTATGCTTTTCTTGGCTTCCCCTGAAAAAACATGCAGATTGTTCTTGTATAGAAGCGCCCTTAAGAAAATGATGTGACATCTATGTATTGATGGGAACCGAAACACATTATAATACAGAACAGATAAACATGATAAACTCAACTCCAAGCTGACAACATTAGTCGTTCATGCACCTACCCCAATGTGTTGGCACTGGAGGACACCATTACTTGGAACCTGCGGCTCTTTGGCTTCCATTGCCAGCTTCCTATTTTCCAGTCTGCTTACTAATCTATGGATTCGAGTCACTGTACTACTTTGTATTCCCTGTGCTCTCCCCTCTTGTAGGCTTACATAAACCTCTCCCACCCTGCCCACTATGATGTAAATGAGCAGAACAGTGCTAGGAATGAACAATATGGACCATTACAGGCGTTAGAAACCTTCCTTTCTGCACTGCATAAGATGCACATTGGTCATGTCCTTTCATGGTATCATTTGTTGTCCTGTACACAGCCTATTGAAAAGGAAATCTTCACATTCCTGTTTCATATGTTTCAGTTTATGTTCAAGCATGAGACATGGCAATGCACAGGTTAAAGGATAGATTCGCCTTTGGAACATGTTACCATATTTAGGGTGGATCCCCCCCGAGGCAGCAGGCCAGTGATCTTCCCCCCAAACCTGCTGTCACAATTTAAAAATAGCGTGGCCATGTGGGGCTCCGCCCACACGGGCGCGCCATTCATTCACAGAGTTCTGTGAATGAATGAACTACAAATACCATCAGACATTGCGGCTAACGGCATGTAGTTCTCAATGAACTGCGAGGGTGCTGGTGAGCTGATAGTCATGGATTCTTCCTGCAATTCATTAACTGCCTGCCGTGTATAGAAGATATGGGCAGACAGTGTACTAAGAGTCTGCAGGAGCCTGGCATTGCACCCATGGTCAGCCTTATGGGCTTCATTTAAAAAAAAAAAAGAATGAATGGGCATTTTTATTACCTGCAAAAAGATGTGCATTTATTATTTTTTCATAAAAGGTGAACTTATCCTTTAATGCATGAGCTTTTTTTGCAGTCTAAGAACTTCCTGTGAACAAACTCCATATCCCACAATCCCTACGTCTCCCAGTCTAGAGCTGGGGCAGGTGATATCTAAACAGTAATTAGATATGAGACAGACAGACAGGCAGGAAACATAACAGAAAGATCACCAAATATTTTTTTTATTACATTAGTACTCCCACATTTGTCATGCAACACAGAGAAAATGGCCAGACATGCACTGGACACTGTGACCCAAACAAACATGTTGCCTGTCACTTGAATGTGACTCGGGACAAGCTAGGTGAATTAATACATGGGCAAAGGGGATTGATCGACCTTGCAGTATAAAGTACAGCCACAGTACATGAGCCCATCTGTCAGGAATGTGTAGCGCTCCTGCTCCATCACAGCTGCTGGCCTCATTCCAGCACCCTGGTTTTGGCTGTGATACATTCTTTCTGTCTGTCTGTCTGTCCACCTGCAAGAAGACTATTGTTGCCAGTCTCTGGATGGAGACCAAACCTGGTATAAGCCAGCCAAGCCTGCAGTCTCATGCTTGTGATATTGTGTTTAACACGTGCTTCAAGCTCCCTGTTTGTCTGCTCTGCTCTTTGAATTTCTCAGTTTACGATTTCAGATTGGAACATGGAGTACTCTCTGAACTCAACCTGCCTTTTAACTACGGTTTTGACCCTGACTATTCTGAACCTTGCCTGACTTGTACCTGGACGGTCATTGAACCACTGTGCCTGTCTGCCAACTGCAAGTACCTGTTTGCTGTGCTCAGTTCACTCCTGCCCTGGCGAGGTAGCCAGGCACTGTAGCATTGCGTATAAGTCTTGGGGGCTGATTACCGATGGGCCTGCTTGCCTTATGGGAAAGGAGGCTGCTATAGGAGAAGAACACAGAAGCCAGCTATAGTGCCTAACCACCTAACCACCTACGCTAGGGGTAAGCGTGACACCATCATTACAAGGTACGGCAAACAAACAACACAATATAATATACAGTAACTACACTAATAACTACATAGATATAACAACAAAAAAATTTCCAAGTGTACAATGCCTTTGAAGATACCCTTTATAACCTGACTGGTGCTCTGTTTTATATCAAGTTTATATCTAATATTTGTTATTTGGCTGCAATTCAGGTTTATTCTTTTTCCCCTGAAGAGTTTGGGGTTTGGCAAATTCTAAGTAGTACAAGACCCCATAAACACTGGCAACAGGGACATGTAGTTTCCCATCAGCTTTACCTGAAATGGAATAACTTGAAATGTTGCAGACACCCCAATGGAAGCGTACTGCGGTGCGAGGAAACGTGCAGGGCATGAAGTATGTATTCTGTGAATGTAGACAAAGCTACGTGGGAGAGGCGAGATTATGATGAATATCCAGCTCTTATCTCTCATACATACTGTACATTACAATGAGTCGGCCCCGGGCCCCACGAGCACGTCATTATCATTCACTGTGTATCGTCCCCTCCCAAGAGCCAGTGAGTGCGGGGCCACCCCTCCAACCAGAAAAGACTGCTATAATTAATTTTAATTTCATGTTTAATTAAAACGAAGATACTTAGGAAAGACCTCCTCAAGCAGGAGCCTCCTTGCTGGTAGAGGCATCACTGGCACTGCTTTGAAATGCACACGTCTAATTTTAGCAGTCATTTCATGCTGTAAAATCACAATAACATGAATCACTGGTTGTGTCAAATGCAGCGGAATGAACGCAATCAACCCAACGGTAACTCAACTTTTTTTTTTTTTTTTTTTTTACAAACCCTCCACAACTGTACCCCCAACTTGTACAGCCAATAGAAAACACACATACCCAGATTCCTTTTCTGGCAGGTGCAGACCTACATTTTCCAATCTCTGGACACATGGAGAGCACAGTGGTGGAGGCTTCTTCAGGATACGGAAATAGCCTCCTATGACACACACGGCTGTCCATGGATATAGGCACAGAAAATAACCATAGAAAACAAAACATCATTCACAGATGTTTGTGGTTCTGCCAAGCCCCCAAATCTTTATGTACCTGGATTTGTCTTGGTATCAGGCTGTTGTACAACAGAGCACAGACTTAGATACATGAGACTGCAGATAGGAGGAGAGAGCAGAGTGACAGAGAGATGAGCTCATCAGTTATTCTACCTAAACCTTGCCCACCCTGCCCTTGATGATACAAACCTTTCACTGTCCAGTCACAGGCTGGGGGA